ATTTCTCCTCTTTCCACATCTTGATAGTTGCACTCGCTCTGAAGGGTCCTTACAAAAATATCTCCGAAAAAATTCACCGGATTGACTTCAACTTTTCAGAATACACTTGCATGCACATTCTGAGAATGCAACAAAAACAATAGATTAATTAAGGCCCGGGTGGACTATCTATCGAATGTCATCTTTTGTTGAAATTTTATCTTTTTAACCTAAAATACATTAAAATTTGGGATTGAATTTGTGTTGGGGGAGCTACTCGAATGGTTATAAAAAAATAATGAAAAAAAAGAGGAAAAATTATTGAATGGCACTAAAGAGCGATATTGTCTAAAAGGGATTTACCAAGTTTACAAAAAAATAATAAAAATTACGCAGCTTACCATTGCTCCCCAGAAGATTGCGTGACAGCTAGATGCAATAGTAAGTTAAGTATTTTTTATTATTTTTTAGCAACCTTGGGAGTTCCTTTTAAATAATATCGATGTTTAGCGCCCTTCAATAATTTTTTCCCTTTTTTTTTCATTATTTTTTTCATGTCCATTCAAGTGCTTCCCGCAACACAAAATTGATCCCAAATTTTAATGTATTTTAGATTAAAAAGATAAAATTTGAACAAAAGTGGACCCGGGCCTTAAAATAAAATTATAATTGCAAATAACCCCTGAATATTGAATGGCATTCCAATTACTTTACGGTACTACTGTAGACGATTTCCGGAAATCAATACACAAATACCAATTTTGCGCTTAAAATCACTGAAATCAAATTTACATTTTACTATTATCTTTATTTATAAAGGTATAGGTTGAGTATACAGAATTTTGTGAATGTTCATAGGTTTTTGTTGATGATTATGGCAGTAACATACTGACTCTGAATATTTAAGGTAAATGTCTGGTTTAAGCGCACCACACATAATTAATTATCATTGAAATATTAATTTCTTTGATAAAACCATTATTATCCCCTCGATATTACCGTTCCCATCGTGGCCCTGGATAACGCAGAGAGCCGTGTATCAATCTAATCTGCCAATCCAATTGTTTGTCAAAAACAGTTTCCAGATCCTTAATCAGATAACGGAATTCTATCCACTTCAATATACAACATCAAAAACTTCTAGAATGGTTTGGTGGATGTAAACTAGACATTTACCATATTTAATATTAACAGTATAAAAAGTACCGTAATTAAATCGAAATAAACAGTGGTATTTTGTGACTGCTGTGGATCAATCACGAGCGTCAACAAATAAAAAAAATCAATATAAAAGAACTATAAAAAACAATTAGTGAACTTAAAAACTACCTTACTCATACGCTGTGCCAGCTATGCCTCCTGGGTCCGCTGAGTAACGTAAAATCTATCAGAAGAAATAAAAATTAAGATTTTTAAGTATTTGTAGAAGAGAAGGCACTATGCGTCTAAATAATTTCGCCTCTTTAACTCCTCATTTTCAGGAGATTTAAAATGTAGCGAAAATGTTATTTGATTGCACATCTAAACCTCACTTTTCCCTTTGTCATATTACCAGGAATTCCGAATAAATCAGCCCAAAAATCTCACACTTGCCGAATAAAATAAAGAGAAGAAAACTCTCAATTCTTATCAAAAATATCATTTTTAGGTCCTAACAGAGATCACTATTATGTGAAATTTTATATACACGAGATGATCTCCTTATTACGAGATTTTTAGGTGAAATAAAATTTCAAACCCAATTGATTCTTTCCACGATTAAAAATGAATTTTAGAAACTAAAAGTTCTAAGCATATTCAGTCCTTTCAATTTGGCCAGTCCAACCAAAACTACGTAACTCAGGAGGCCCCAGCAGCTTTTACACGATTCATTAAATTCAAACCTTACATCTAAATATTTTTTTTTTCATCAATTTTTAAAATGTTTTGTTTTCAAACCTTAATTTTTAATCTTCTCATTTTCCTTAGTTTACGAAGACAGAAGGAAGTAAGCGATGTCAAGCAAATTGCATTCACTTTCATGGTCTCCATGATTGAATGAACATCGCATAAATCGATGAGTGGGGGAAGCTTATGTATCATTAGGAACGTTAATCTATCTATTCCTTTTTTTCCTACAATTATTAGATACTCATTTGACACGATAGGAATGTCATTTTTATTGTCAAGAGAGTATCTAAAATTTGTTCATGTGTTGTTTGTTCATTCAAGGACTTTCGATTTGAGACAAGAGATGCACAGTACAGACACGTGGTGTGTGTTGAAAAAAAAGCTCGAGCAGACACTTTTTCGGACTCAACTTCAATGTTGCAAAAAAA